CCCCCCCCGGCTGCCCCTGCTGCTCTGGGTGCAGCCCAGGGCACAGTTGGCTTTGTGGGCTGTCAGCACACGTTGCAGCTTCTCAGCCATACAGAGCTTGGAGCAAAGCTTTGGTGAAACACCTTCTCATTCCTCCAGCTTCCATGCAGGAATGGCTGCTTAAAGTCCTCCATCCCCAGCTGTGTCCCCTCTCCCTCGCCTGTTCCTGGTGTTAGCAGCTGTCCCTGCTCTGTCCGTTTCTCCAGCTGGTGCTTGTCACCTCTTGGAAGGGTCCTTCTCCAGGCACGTGGGGCCAACAAGCAGACAGATGTCCCGTGGAGGGAGGGGAGACCTGTACCCACCCCTGGCCAGCAAGTATCCAGCACTGAGCTCCAACGTTGGAGCGTGGTTGTTGAATCCCTGTGAGCTGTCTAGTGCCAAAGCACTTGGGATGAAAGCCCAACCACCTTCCTGGGGGTCATTTTGGGGGTTATTTTTTATCGTTTTGCCCTTTTCTTCCCCAGGCTGGAGGCAGCCCTAGTGCCCCTCACCCTTGTCCTGGATCAAACAGCCTCTAGGCAAGAAACCCAAGAAGATCTATCACCAGCATGAAGGTGCCACCCGGGCACCCTGTGCCGCAGGGGCAGGTGGGTGCTGCTTGTCGTGGGTGCTCTTGGCCATCAGGTAACGCTGCCCTGTGGGTCCATCATGGAAAACGGGGGATGGATATGCTGATGGGGGATGTCCTTGGCACTGGGCAGAGCACGTCAGGATGCTTCAAGGACGCTTGAAAACGAAAAGAAGCCCCCGATGGCTTTTCCACCACCAAAACAGAGCTGGTGATGACCAAGGTGAGCGTTTGGTGATGGCTCTGCCACACGGGTGTGTTTGTGGTTGGTTATTAATGACTTGGGCTGTCACTGTCCTTAACGTGCGATCCTTCCTTGGGAAGGGAATTCGGGGAATGTGAGTGTCCCCCGTGGAGCCGCGGCCTCGTCTCTGTGCGAACGCCCTGTAGATGTCAGCAAACCTCCGTCAGCAAAACCGCGCCGAGACCAGCTGGTCCCACCAACTGGACCCTTGCACCAAGCTGAGCTTTGCATCCCGGACAGCCTCGGATGCTGCCACGTTCCTCCAACTGCCCGCCCACCTGGTACCCGCGCTGCCCTTCCCTCCCTGGATAGAGCTGGACCTGGGATGTGGCTTTGCTCTTTGCTGAGATCTCAGGTCTGTGGAGGGCATCAGAGACAGGGGTGAGGATGGAGCGGGTTGGGACAATGCCAGGGGCTGTGCAGTAACGTCCTTGAAGCTGAACTCTGTGAAAAATGTCCTTCTTTGAGGGTGGGGAGACATCGAAAAGATCCACTTGCAGCTTGAGGGTGTTTCACACACCAAAGGGTGTAAGTGGGGCTTGAGGGAACTTCAGCTTAATCGACAGAGCTGGGGCAGAGCCCTGAGACTAAGAGCACAGAGCTCGTTGATGAAGAAAGGTCTTGAGATATTCTCCAAAGGATGACCATCTTGGCATTCCAAGATGCACTCGCCTCTCCTTTCTGTTGGTTATAGAATCACAGAATGGGTTGGGTTGGAAGGCACCTTCAAGATCACCCAGTTCCAACCCCCCGGCCATGGCCAGGGACACCTTCCACTAGACCAGGTTGCTCAAAGCCCCATCCAACCTGACCTTGAAGGGCTGAGTGCCCACCCCTTGCTGCCTATGTCCTCCAGGAGCTGTGGGGTGAACTTCTCATGATCCTCTTCCCTCCCTACAGCTGAAAGTGTCAGCCTGAAGCTCCCTGGCATACCTCTTGAAGTCAAACGGAATCAGTCAGGCACACAAACATCGGTCTCAGCCCCTGGCTGGGAATAGCCTGGAGGAAAATTGGATTCCTAAGCTGGACATGCTGGAAGAGAAAGAAAAATAGAGATCCTAGCATCCCAGATCTGGAACTGAACTTGTCCGTTAATGTAATGAAATTCAGCCACCCAGGCTCTTTCTGCTAACAGGCCATCTCAGTTGTGACTTCATATTTTCTTGGCCACAAATATCTACGTATATATCTGGGTCGTGGCAATCCCAGGCATAA